ACGTGACCACAGTTACAGAAAAAACAAACAGCCTTCTTCACGCTTCAGCTCCCCTATCGATTCAAACAAACTTTTTTCTCCCTCTCAAGTATGCTTCAAGTATGGAGCATGGTTAATTTAGATATTAAGTTCCAAATTAGATTATCTAATGGCATCTTAATGGATTGCTGACCCATTTCCTGTGGGATGGCAGCATGCAAGTCTGGCTGGAATACAATTAATTTCTTAGGAAGTGTTCAGAAGTTGTTTGCTTAGATGGAAAGCAAAAACAATTCTCCGCACATTTTTCCCTGCAAGAGAATTGGGTGAAAACTGTAATGGAGACAGCGACAAATTCTTAAAAACCACAAATCTTTCCAACTTCCCCAATGATGTTTTCATGTTATTGTTCTTACTTTCACAAGTCTGTATTTTTATCTCAAACAAATATAAAGTAAATAAACAAAATTCTTCTAGTTACTATTTATTGTCCGAAGTGCATTATCCAAACCATAAAAACAACAAAATCAAGGAAGGTCAAAGAAACGCAGTTTTGATGTTACTTGATACTAATGTGGATCTTTAAGAGTTTCTATGCGTGTTCGACTCTAAAATTTACAGGGCTGCTCTGACATTAAGAAGCGGTTCTCCACCTTCCTTCCCCCACAAATCAAAACTTATTCCATTTTACTGCCTTATCAACATTATCATCGCAAGCCCTTGAATGGAGCTGGGGGCAAAGAATGCTACTCTTAAAAGTTGAGCATTTTGAACACCCCTATGGCTAAAGCTGAAAAGAAAATTCAGCACTTGGAGAATAAAGCACTCCTCAGGAGCTCTCAGAACAAACCAGCTGTTGTACTGTACTTCTGTATCAAGACAACTAAGCGAGAGCAGGAAATGCTAGTCTAATGATAGTAATGTTAAATTGGCAGTTAACCCTTCAAAATAGCATTGAAAATCATGGCTTTTTATAATATAAATTACAACACCTAACAATGAATGTCTTAACACATGTTATAATTTTTGAAAGACTTGGCAGAAAATCCTCCAAATTTCATAATAATGAGCCAAGGCTTTCACTGCTCAGCTTAGTTGGATGCTACACTAATAGCTCCATAGCTGCTTAAAAATCAAACTTCACAGGTGCTGGTCATTCTTGGAGCTTTGTGTTGAAGCTATTACCTGCATGGCTCCGATTATCTGAGCCTTACTGGACTTGTGACTCAGTTTTGGTGTTTATTTTGATCTGTTGGGAACTTGGCTTGTCAGTCACAAAAACATTTGGCAATTTGTATTATTACAGCAATTCCTCTGACTTCTCCCAGATGGAGACATCTGTTCTTAAATGAAACCAGTTCTGTGCAATGCTCCAAAAGAAATGAAGATTGCCTTATCATGTGCATTTTGCTCTTCGCTGTATATATATGAAAGTCCTTTCTCTGCTTACACTGCTCAAACAAATGTCCTCTTGTCTTTGTGTCTATGGAGGCCCTCAGGGACACAAACATTGTGAACTTAGTATTGGAAGGAATCTGAAGGATTTCTGTTTGGGAGTCTGGCCTTTGAAAGCCCCAAGAGATGTCTGTCTGTGATCCAGAACTATACGAGTCTTAGTGGTAGCCAAATCATGCATCTCATGAACATTTCTAAAACTCTGGTTGATGAACTATCTCAAATAAGAGGCAGCAACTTCTGATCCCATAGTGAATAGATATACCAGGATTTGGCACACTTTGAATATCTTGTGAAGAACAGTTCCAATCAGCTATGCATTCACTTTTTTTGAAAAGGAAAAAGGGCTACATTTTTAACATTGGACATGTATTCATTCTGAGTGGATATGAGCTTAACTTATTTTTCTTCCTTCCCATGCAAAATATACTTCTGAGGCAATTTGGAGTATTTGCTATTCTTTAGCTGAGAGCGCTTTACAAAGATTGCTTAGCTTCTCTGTTTTCAACTAGGAGCTCATGGGTTTCACCCCAGGATGGAATATGTTCTCAGTGGTGGCAGACATAGAATATATTTAATGGCATTTTCCACAAAATAATCATACAATTTCACATAAGTTCGTAAGAATGCAGACCCTCCTCCATATTTCATCTGAAGTCATTTTGAGGAGACACATATGACTGCAAATTCATCTAGTTAATAAGTTCCATCTATAGACTCACAATCAGAATGGAATGATCCTTGTGCTGGCAGCCCCACTCCCCAGCCAAAAGGGAAAGAGAAAGGAAATCTGAAACCCTCGTCTAGTACAGAAAAGAACTTTGTGTTTTTATCTAGGGTCATACAATCAGTTCATGGCAGAAGTAAGATGTGAACCAAGGTCAATGACTCAGCCATATAGTGACAACAAAACGTAATGTGGACTTCTCTTATTCTTTACTGAAGTTTTCTTTGGGTTCTCTCAAGCCACTACTAAACAATCATGCCATCTCCGCTCCATAAAGGAAGACTCAACGGTCTACCAAGCAATAAGAGGCTTTGTCCCTGTAGCACAGGACAGCTGGATTCCATCCTGCATATTCTTCCGCACTGCCCACTTTACCAGGATTTGAGATTTAGCTTCCTACCACATGTTATAGATTCCTTGAAAAACCACAGCAACTCAGACAAAGTAATTATGTTTTTAAATTGTCAAGGTTTTAACTGCTGCCTTTCAGTGGCAAGATTCCTGAATGATGTCTGCAAACTGAATGTGTAGCAAATGTGAAGTTCCCTTTTCTATGATTTGTACTGTATTTTATACCTCTTTGCTATGTATATGCCAATAAATGCTGATTGGATTGGATTGGATTGGATTGGAAATACTAAGCACTCTTCTCAGATGCCGTAATCAAACACAGAAGAGCACAAGGAGACAGGAGAGGCTTTGTTTAAAGCAGTTCACACTTCCAAAGCTTATTTTCCATACATGGAGGAAATAATATGATAAATGGACAAGCCCAATCAATGGGTCACATGCCACCCAAAGTCTATATCCAAGACCCCAACAGCTCCCAGGCCATAATAAAAAAGATAAAATCAAAATGTCACCATTCTCTCTAACCAAGAATCTTCACAAACTTTCATAACATTCCTAATTCTAAAGAACAATTGTAATTATCATAATGACAACTCATGTAGATTTCATCCACACATCCATTCAATTCTAATGATCGTTCCATATTTGGAGGAAGAAAAGGTATCAGTATCACTGTAAGAGGAAAATCTATCAATCTATCTATTGCTCTATCTGTCCATCCATTCATACACCACTATCTAAATGCAATATATGAAAGGAATTGTCTATTACAAAAAGGTATGCTTGTAAAAGACTGAGTTCTGCTTTTCATTTAGATGAAACTTTACATTATTAACATATTGTATAAATTTCCTCTAGCATTTTTCCTCAATGGAGAGCAGGCATGCAGGAGGCTGCAACTGGGAGCAAAGGAAGAGTGGGTGGTGAGATTGTATCCATTCCTCCCCACTCTCTTTTTTTTCCTGTTCAGAACCACACTCCTCAAGCTACTTCTACCTATTATGTTTTCCTTCAAGGACAAAAAGCCATTTTGTGGAAATGTACATTTGTATTTCTTTCATATATGATTTTGACCAATTCTCACTCCTCTGTGAACAGTCCATAATGAGGTTCACCTCTCACATTCATGCTGAAAACTGCAACCTTCTAATGCTTTTGTTGAAAAAATCCTGGGGAAATTAGAAACAGCTATTTGTACATGTACAATTTGGCTCGTATAACTGAGAAATTATTTGAAGCAATCTTTGATTGTATTAAACCTATATAGCTCATGAATGACAGGAGTTCTATATTATTTTCAATGGTGAATAAATGAAATTAGCTCATTTACAGAATAAATGCTGTTTGACTATACAGTCTCTCAATATCACCTGCTTGGTTAAGGGAATTTAAGTGAACTATATTGCTCCATTTGATGTTTCAATATGGAGAATGTCATTCATGCGTTTCTCCAAATAGACTTTACAGTTCTTAGTGACTACATGTGACTAATGAAATAACCAAATTATTATTTGCTTTCAAGATATTATTTTATTGGCCCACACTAGATGTGTTGAAAAATCATGACATTGATAACATTTACAATTTTTGACTTCTGTTTCATGAGGCTTTCCAGTTATAAATATCACAAAAGCAGGTGTTAAAACGAGACTCTTTACTGATCAATAGATTATCAGTGCATGTCATCCAAAGTCTTGGACTGGATCCAGAGAAGCATTAGCAGAATCCCACTTGCCAACAGGCCTTTCTTACTCTTCTTCAACACCACCCACTCTCCATTCCCATCTTGAGGGACATAAATCCTTTTGGAGTATTGCTTCATGGGAGAAAGAAGCAAAGAAATGGGAAGTGAAACTTTCCAGATTCATTATCAACTCACATCCAAAGCAATATTGCTAGCAAAGTATTTTCCAACATAACATCATTAATAAGGTCTGTGTTTCAACTAAAATGGTTACACATTTTATCTCTATTTGTAACCATACCTATATCTATCTATATATGTAATAGTGTCTTCTTACCTGCAAAGAAAATACTTTATATGACAGGAAATACTCGTTAATTATGTTTTAAGATATATGCTTTTGTTCAATAAAAATATTATAAATTCAAACAATATATTCCCATCAAACTGTTTCTCTGAGTATTATCCATATATATTACTCCAAATGAGACACTTTAATTAACCTTTTTCTTTCCTTTCATCACAATTTCACATTATAAATATATATATATGGGCTCAAGATACCCCCTTTTTAGTGCTTTGTTTCTTTGTCAAAGTGCTACAACCTGTAAATTTTACAGCAAACATTTGGCATTCCAAGTCCTTAATGGAAAATTTTAGCTACAGCTCATCTAAAATGTGTGCTTCAAAAGCCATTACAGTTATTTCGTAGTTAGATTTAAACAAATATACTCCTGGAGGCCAACTAAAACAGAAAATGAAGAACCCAAGATAGTTTAGGTTTGGAAATAATTAAAATTTTACCTTTGCCAAGTAATTCCCAATGTATCCTCATTGGCACTGGGGTATAAATGCCTGCCGTTTTGATTCATGGTCCAGTCACAAATCCTCAGCTGTCAATTGAAACCTAGCAGTCAGATATGGATCGAGCAGTACTACAGTGTTTAGTATTTAAATGAATGCATGCAAACTAGCACTTAACATGGCACAAACCTTACATCCCCAAGGAGAAGTATAAAAAGAAAAACAATTTTAAAATAAAATCTGAACGTTTATTGTGCAAAACAAAATCCTACTTTTTCTCACATCACAAAAAAACGCTACTTAACTTTAACTGTGCTTTTTCATTAATAAAAGCATTAAAGAGCAACTGGCATTTAGCAATTAATTATATTATAAACTGAGCTGGAAAAAAGAAATGTTAATGTTCAAAAGTGAATTCTTTAAAAAGAAAGAAAATAAAACCTCAAAATTATTCAATGTAGTAGAAAAAGAACAACAAAAAGAAATCATTATCTTGAAAGCATGCATTTGGTGATACACAGATGACATGCAATTTACAGTAAAGAGGATCCAAAATTACATAATGACCTTATCTTGCTGTTCAAGAAGGGTAGGGGAATTTGTAATAGAGGTTGATTAATTTAGTGTTACTGAATATGGCATCACTTAACATGCAGCGGTAAAATAATCTAATCTACTTCTAGACTCAAAATAATAGCATTTAAAAGACTTAAAATGCAACGAGGAATGCATTACATGTAAGTTGAAACAAATTCTTCCCAGATCTCTAAATCATCAGGACTGCTCTTCACAAAATTATTCATGTAACTCTATATAGCCATTTGTCTAGCAGCTTTCCTAGAGTGCTAGCAGATTTCCTGCCAAGATACCATGATCATTTTTGTGTTTTGAGAAAATAAGCTTCATCTACCTTTGTGAAGGAAATGTAGGAAAAGTATGATTTTAATCTCTACACTATCATGCTAATACGTGACCATCATGTGTCTAACAGCACTCTGAATTAAGGAAGGCAATATGATGAGTAAGATTAATTGTGTATAAAAGCAATTTCCCCCCTCCCATGGAAAACTCTAAGTAGCTCTAAAAAAATCCATATTAATAACTAAAACAATGCCTTTCACAGCAGCCCAGTTTATTACAGTCTTTTCCTGAAAAACATGTATGTCGAAGACAAGGCAATATCCCTGTCTTGACCCTGTTTGACTGCTACACTCTTATGCTTCCTGCTATTGAGTCTTCAGAAATGCAAACAGACCTTCCCTGACCGTTTTGTTATTTATTACCTGAGTAACTCTGTGAGCCCTTTTAAAAAAACATATACAAAGTTAACTAGGAAAGGAATGTTCCAGCACGAAATAGTCCTCAAAGGCAGCTACAGTACAACAAATCATGTTCTGGAAAGTGTGGGTGAAACTAAACTTGACCTAAAAGAGATGTGGCTAGTGCACATGTACTAATCTAACACCCCCAACCCATTTTCACTTTTCAATAACTCTTGCCAGACTTAGAAGACGTTGAGTCCTTGAGTTTTAGTGAGCCTAAATGGTAACCTAGGCTATGGGTGGGCAAATTGGCAGACAGCTAAGGTATAGGCTGGTATTCTGTATAGCACACACTCTTCTTTGAACTGGGGCCTAGATCAACTTATATAGGTTTTGGTTTTCGCTATCTTCATTCATGAGATTAGATTTTTGAAATGTACTTTTTCTTCATTAGCTCTAAGATATACAAACTAGAGGCGGGAAATAAGATATACATTTAGAATTAAAGCATTCTCGGTCCTGAATATTAGGATGGAAATGGTACCACAGTTCTTGGAATTTTTAATTTTAAAAATCACCCACTATACTATACTTGCTTTATTTCAGCAATGAAGAGCTGCAGGATGATCCAGTCCATCCTCTATTTCAGGTGTCTTGTTCTTGCCTACAATCAATTTCCTCTTATCATAACACACAAGAGTGGATGCACTACAGCAACAAAGTGCAAAAACTACAACTGAGATATTTCTGGTAGAAATCTAGTGTTTTTACTTGCAGATCTTTTCTGAAAAAAATCTTCAAAGATTATCATATCCTGATATACTAGTTTTCATGTGTTCCAACATTCTATTCAATACTGTTGCAAGAGGCCATTTAATACTTTTAAAGATGGCAGCCTTTTACAGAACTTGCTGAAAATAATGCTCCTACTACTACTTTATTAAATTTTGATTTTCCTACCTATGTGTCCTGTAATTTGAATCAACTGGTATAAGTAGATTAAATTTTGAAAGATGTAAAGGAAAGCTTCCTCACTCTAGGGAGATGTCCTTAAGGCTATAAAGTGTAATACTTTTTGGAGATAAAGCATAGTGCATTCTTTAATGACCAACAATTGAAACCTGTTTTCTGATAAATATTTACAACAAATTACTGGCAGATAAAAGTTTCATGCTACCTTGTTTACTGGGCATTTGCAAGGGTGAACAGGGAGAGGATGAATAGGAAAATCACTGCTGCCTTACCCTCTTCTGCAGCTGAATTCAACTGAGTGTGTTTTAAATTCCATATACACTGCCATCTATATCACTCAACAGTCACTCGTTCTGCACCCCAAAAATAATAATGGCAAATTACCTTATTCTTCCTATATCTAAACAAGCACAATTTTGATTGCATTTTGCTTACAAATTCCTATGTTATCCTCTGATTCACTCAGCAAACGCCATGAAACTCATAAAGGCAAATCCAGTAATTCACTATTTGTTAATCTAGTTTAGAGACTGATGGCCTAACTCAACCATAACAATGAAAAAAAATTATGAAAAGATTTCAATATTCGTATAGTCAAACAGATAATGATTATGACAAAGCCACAAAGAAGTATTGCAGAGTATTTGCAATTTTCTCTTTGATTTTTCCCAAAGTTCACATTAGGATTTATGGCATGGGAGAAAGTTCGGGTTTTTGTTTTTAACAGTGCTCACAATATTAGGCACACAATAGAAACATGTATAATGTAATGATGCTAATAGAGTTGTTAAGGTTAATCTTCCTTCCTTCAACAGTATTTAAGTAAATATACATATGGAAAAGACAGCAAGTGATATGAGACTTTGCTAGGGTTTTTGTTGATCGAGGGAAGCATAATAACATTTGCATATTCTCATTGTTTTGACTGAAACTTCCTTTAAATGTGTTTCCTTTCCAACAGGAGTATGTGAAAGGTGACCTCTTATCCATTTACTTGCCTCTCTCTAACTGTCATGTGACTAGGTTTTACGTCAAAGTGTCAATTATGATAAGAAACACAATACAGATAGCCTAAGCGTCGATAACCTGTTTCCGGAGTCTATTAAATTTGTTTGAGATCCTTGTATAATGTCCTTTCAGTTTTTTCCTAAAACAAAAACATTCACTATCCTGACAATTTTAAGACCATCAAATGTATATGTCATTTAAAATTAGTTACATCTTTAAGCAATATAAATTAATCAAGTAAAATAGTCATTGTTAAATAGATTCACTAATAAAACAATTTATTATTGGAATTGCTGTTGTGATAAATATGTGAGTTCTTAGTGTACAGGAATTAAATGTGATATGATTTAAGAACAGGTTCTAGTTTCAAAATATATCTCATATGAAAGAAAATGAAAATAAAAGCTCAATAAGTAGTAATATACCTATTTAGAAGTAAAGACTATTGATTGATTGATTTTATATCCCAACTTTCTTTCATCCTAGGACCCAAAGTAGCTAGTGGGTTCAATGGGACTTGTTCCTGAGAAAGTGGATATAGAGCTGCAGGTTAAATCTATAGGAAAGTAATGTTATCAATACCCATAACTACACCTTCAGAACTCATAATATTTATATCACAATGCCAAGTAATGTGAGGATATTAACAACTGCTTAATTACCGGACCAATGCCAGCACGTGGAAGAATAATAATTCCAATACAATGGGTACCTTCTTCTTTTGGATTCATGTTTTCTTTATATGTATTTTGTTTAGTAAAATCATATGATCTATTAAAATAATACTGAATATAAGTATTTAAGGAAAGAGAAAGCACCATGTATTTTATTTCAGTTTAACAATATATTAGAAAACATTTCAAAGCTCAGGTTATAAGATAAATAGTATGGTTGATTAGGGAAAATCAGGAATGTATGTAAATCCTGTTCCTTCATAAATGAATCAAGATCTGGAATATTTCAATCACATCAACCAAATGCATGGAACAAGGTTATCAATATGTCCAGTTTAAATGCAATTTTTTTTAAAAAAATAGAAATATGAGCTATTAAATCCATTACTGTAATAATAATAATAATAATAATAATAATAATAATAATAATAATAATCTTTCTTTATACCCCGCCACCATCTCCCCCAATGGGGACTCAGGGCGGCTTACATGAGGCCAAGCCCAAAGAGCAAATTACAATAGAATAAAAACCAAAACACAAGCAACAACACACTAAAATACATAAAACATATGAATACAATAAGCAATTTTTAAAACAACTTAAATTTTATCTTGTACATGCGGCCCGCTCATTGTCACTGTGATTGTGGATATTGTATTTGTATATTGCTTATTGTATTCATATTACTGTACACTCCTTTTTCAACTCTCAGAAAGCCCCCCCCCCCCAAGTTCTGCCTCTTGTGTATATTTTATCCTTTGGAAAGATAGATTCCAGGGTATATCCCTAGTTACATCAGTTGCCAACAAAACTGCCAGAACTTAATACTTGCCAGACAACTGAAACTGTCCCTTTGAAGATCTTCCAGATATGATTTATAGAGAAAGATTGGTAATCCATACTTTGGTGAGAGATTAAAAACAAGTCTCAATATTCCCATGATGGAGTTTTTAGAAGATTCGGTGGAATCAGACTATCACTGTTGCAATAGTCTACTATTCACAGGCTCATGATATTGTACCAAACCGAAAAACAAAAAATTAATACTAAGATAATATTTTGATGATACCTAAAGAGGAACTCTCTTTAGTTAGTTTTACTCCACAAATTTGTGACAACAAATAGAGAACAATCACTGCATTATTAGCAATATGGAATTTGCCTTGACAGTTAATGAATCAAAGAAGTACTTCATACAAAGAAGTACTTTATACAATCAATAATGTATCAGGGGTTTGTGGCACTGAACACTGATTATCTTAGAACTTATCTTTTCAACTGACTGTTTAAAAACATTTTAAAAAGGAAGATTTATAACACTACTGTTGCTTCAGTGTGGAAATATTCAGCAAATCAGGGCAGTTAGGCTCAAAATGAATGGCCATCATAGAAATGGGAATGCTTAGATTTATGATTCCTAATAATAACCTTGACTTTGTAACTATCGGAATATTAAGTTACATGTTTAATAACATGCTTTTCATGGCATCCTCACTTGTAAATTAAAATCTGTTGCTCATGTTGGTTCTTGTTGCATGCGATCTTTCAAAGATATATTTATAATGCTGCCATAAACGCAAACATTCCACCAAGCTTCAGTAATAAATTGTTTTATTGAAAATTCTACTAAACCGTTATTTTGTGAAGAGACTATTTATAAGAAGAATCACCAACTTTTTTAAAACAACTTAAATTTATGATCGTTATTACAATTTATATAGTCTATGTTATGGCTCTTTTAACAAAAAGGCACTCAAGAATAAATGTCAATACCTCTCATAACCAAAGAGAATAAATCTGTACAAAGCCCACTCTTGTGAAGTGGAGAATGTACCTGTGACAATATTTATTCCTATGGGGTCAAAGTATATTAAAAGGAATGGTGAATGTTTAAAACACCTCTGCAACTAAAACCATTGGCTTTCTAATTTAGAATTTCTCTCAGCTAATATAAAATGATTGATTGCCTTTATTTCATGTACTCCTTGATTTTTCTTTTCATTCATCATAGCCTACTTTAAACCAAATGCATTTAGGACCTGCCACAAGAAGAGTGGTCTCCTTTAAATTGTTATAAAGTAATGAAAAGACATAATAAATCAATCTTATTTCTGCCTTACGAAAGTATAACCTTTATTCTACCCAAGTAATTTAGTCAATTTCTATGATTTTCTCCCTAGACAATGAAATTGTCTGGCACAGACATTCTTCAAACATTTTTAGATATCAGATTGATAGATCAAAAAAGTTGTTGGAAATCTGGTATGCATTTAATATTATTTCTCCATGGTCCGCGGGGTGTATGATCTTCATTTTAACGTGTTTCACAAGTTTATTATTATACTATTGCTTCAATAATACCATCTATGCCCCAATCATATAGCTATTATGAAATTGTAGACCTGGTCCTTTTATTCTTCAGTTATGTTTCCAGGAATGCCCTTCCTGAAAGCTCACTCCCAAGGTATGACAGTGATGCCTTTAACATTTGGTGCTCAGTGAAATAGTGTCACTAAACATGAATAGTTCATATAATCTGCAGGTATACTAGGCCTATAGCCTTTTCCATATATACATTTCATGCTTTTTGATATGACCACTGCCACATCCTGAGGGAAGAAGATGTACATATACTAAATGTACATATAAATATACACGTAAATGTCTTGTATTCACTGCATTTTAATCTTTGTTCATTGTGTTGTTGTAGGTTTTTTCGGGCTATATAGCCATAGCCATATGGCCATGTTCTAGAGGCATTCTCTCCTGACGTTTCACCTGCATCCATGGCAAGCATCCTCAGAGGTAGTGAGGTCTGTTGGAACTAGGAAAATGGGTTTATATATCTGTGGAATGACCAGGGTGGGACAAAGAACTCTTGTCTGTTGGAGCTAGGTGTGAATGTTTCAACTGACCACCTTGATTAGCATTTGATGGCCTGGCAGTTGTTTGGTGTGGCTTGTTGGTGCCTGGGGCAATCTTTTGTTGAGAGGTGATTAGATGTCCTTGATTGTTTCCTCTTTGTTGTTTTGCTGTTGTAATTTTAAGAGATTTTTTAATACTGGTAGCCAGATTTTGTTCATTTTCATGGTTTTCTCCTTTCTGTTGAAATTGTCCACATGCTTGTGGTTCTCAATGGCTTCTCTGTGCAGTCTGACATGGTGGTTGTTAGAGTGGTCCAGCATTTGTATTCTCAAATAATATTCTGTGTCCAGGTTGGTTCATCAGGTGCTCTGCTATGGATGACTTCTCTGGTTGAAGTAGTCTGCAGTGCCTTTCATGTTCCTTGATTCGTGTTTGGGCGCTGCGTTTGGTGGTCCCTATGTAGACTTGTCCACAGCTGCATGGTATACCGTAGACTCCTGCAGAAGTGAGACGATCCTTCTTGTCCTTTTGCTGAACATAGCATTTGTTGGATTTTCTTGGTGGGTCTGTAGATAGTTTGTATGTTGTGTTTCCTCATCAGCTTCCCTATGCGGTCAGTGTTCATTGTATTTCAGTATATGGATTTCATAGAAACACGTTTTAATATGTCTTTTACATAATATTTCATAATGATGTATTTTTAACTGTGTTATGCCTTGCCTTGAGGAGAGGCAAGTAAGAAATAATAATAATAATAATAATAATAATAATAATAATTGCATGTGCACATAAATAAAATATTGATTCCAATATGAAAAAATACAAAACGATCTCTCCTCATCATGAGGCTACAGCCACATTTGGATAGCCATGCAGAATACTTGAACAAGAATGAATTTCTATATGATGGTGATCCATTTCCATGTCTTGCATGACCCTGAAGTAACTTGCAATGTAAACAGCTTCACATATAAAATTCTGGTTTGTACAATAATTTTCCCCTTAAAAATGGAAGGCAAGACTATGAAAATCAGACCATTATGACTAAGATATTCCCCATGAAATGCCATATGTTAAAATTGTATGTGGATGGTGAAGAAAATAGTATCATGCAAAAAAAAAATCACTATTTGTCTATGGTGCTTAAAATGTTTTCAACTTTAAACCATTATCCATAAGCAACCAAACCAAAGAACAAAAACAAACCCTAACTTCCCCAAACTACAACTCTAAAGTGATATGAAACTCTTCAGCTGTGCCTCCTTCTTTTCCTTTTGGGAGTATTTACCTCACAAGCTAGACAGTAATATATCTAACATATTGATTATTTGTCATAAAGAAAAAAATCAGCAAATATGTGTTACTGGTTTTGTAACACTTAAGTGTTCAATGATTGGTTGTTAATATCCCTATGCTAAGTGAAATTATTGCAGTAGTTTTTCTAAGTAATTATATTACACAGTTTTTAAAAGGTAGTTTCATAGTCACTCGACTTCAGATATCCCGCATAAGCAGTTTGCTGTTATTTTAGTTCAAAAACAATAACAGCTAGATAGCATAATTATATGTAAAAATACTGAGTGCATACTGTGTTTTATAAACATAACATCTATTTTAACATCTAATGTTCTATATTATTTTTTGAAATTTTCTGATCTTCTTACAGATTTTTCCAGTACAGTTTCACAGGTTGAAAAAAATATTAAAACCCTTTCTCAACATACTACTACAACTATTTTTTAAAATAAATTACCATTGGTGTTTATTACTGAACTCTGTAAGGCAGGCAAATATTAACATTTTGGCCTTGGAAGTCAGGAGGATTTTTTCTTGCAGTACTCTCCAACTGTATCACCACATACACAGAATAGGCATAGGTGATAGGTGGTCATGTCAGCTTATGATTGTAAAACCACAGTGCTGCAAGTCATAGAAGCAGTCTTATGAATACTCATGAAGCATATTTTAATTCTGATAAATCAGAATTTGGTTTCTGTCTATACAATATGGGATTGGTGAATGTCTCTGTTATTGACTATGAATTAATTAGCAATGGCTAATCTCATCAGTCTATTTCTAGTTTGAAGAAATAATTTCTTTATTAATTAAATTTGCATCATGATGAGATACAAATTTTAAAAAGTTCTTGAAATATAAATATATGTATAGCCTGGAATAAAAAGGATGTTTCCACTAGAGAAGAAATCAATCAATCACTTTAATTAATACATGATCCTATGTATTTCTACTAAAATCTTGTACAGTTCAGTAAGTCTAACTCCCAAGTTAGTAAATTTGTAAGATAGCACTTTATGCATGTTAATCTACAAAGATGGCCTTCTAAAACAGATCATTTGTATATGTTTCTAAACTATTTTTACTTTCAAGAAACAACTAAAATACTGAATGGCTAAAGAATCCAATTTCGACTTACAGAGGCATTCATAACAAAGTATCGATTCTATTCTCCCAGTTCTCTCTGAACTAAACAATACAACTGAAAGTACATTCTCACTCTAAAGAAACATCACACAGCTATGTATGTAGCAGGGATAGACACTAGGATCCTGTTGTGGTCTAAGATGTCAATGGTAGCATGTATGAAGGAACTCATCACAAATACTTGTGTTAATACCTATGTGAAACTTGCCCACCTGTTGTTGGTGTAGGAAGGAAGGGTCTCTTGGACTTAGTCCCACATATCGATTGGCTTGGGATGTGCCTGAGGCTGTGTAGGCTGATTAAGGAAGAACAAAACATATTGATAAAGATAGAAACCTATCAATGGTCTAGCTTGCATAATTCAAGTATGAGAGATTTAGAATTATGATGCATTAATTTGCCTATGAGGTATTATTCTATAGCACCTATTGACTTCAATGGAATGTGCATGAAGATAGAATTGCCTTCAGAGAAGTAGCAAAATATCTAGAGGATGGTAGTCATTTTAGGGAAGTTCAACCTGATTCTCATCTGTCTAACAACACTGTAAATTAAACACAAAGAAGAGAAAAATTCAAGGCCTAGTGATTTGACGTAGTATTAAAATAAGGGCCACCATTTCTCAGCAGTAATCAGATACAAATTGAAAAAGTTGGACCTAAACAAGATAAACAGGGCATTTTTTTTCTTTTACATATGAGTTAGGGAGCAAGATTGTTTATAACAATAGAATAAGAATATAATTATCATAGGCGTATTATTTAAATGTTGTTTTTCTGCACATCAGAAAATTGTGGAACACTGCTGTAAGATCAAGGTGTCTAATCTGTAATATAGAAGCTCTTGAAATGTTTTCCCCATTGAATAATGTGTGCTTAATGAGATATGCAGCCTTTCATCTGAAGGTTGTGTTTTGAATTGAGAATTGTCATTGTTCATGGTGGTCTGTGACATAGGAAGATGATCCTACCCTACATCCACATTACACAGATCAATTTATTGCAATACCAGCTTGACTGTCCACTATCTTGACTGATACAGCCAAGTTTTGAAAGAATGAATAAGTAATAGCGCAAAAGATGGGACTTGCTTTGTTTTTAAGGTAATATATTAATACCCTACAGGCATGGAATCTTACACACATTTACCTAGGAGTAAACTTCATTTAACTTAAGGGGATAAATAAAAAATAATCCCAGTTAGAAGAGATTTTTGAACTAAACAAGATTTGTTAGTTGTCACGAATCTCAGCAGACTCAATTTAGCCAATACTACCATTGGATGTAAGTCACTGATACTGGCTTCTGGGTAAATATGCATAAAAATTCTGCAGAGAATCTTCCATAATAACTGATTAGAACTTTTTATGTAAAATGAAGGGAACTGTAGAAATGTGTAGCTTTCTCATCACTATAGGAAATGTCATTTTACTTGTGATTTTTTTATTTTTGTAAAAAGATTCAGGTAAATCAAATTTGGTGTACAGTAATTAAATTGAAACTATACAATGATTAAAAAGGTTAGAACACAGAAACTATTCTTAATCATTACAATTAATATCTTTGAAGGAACTGATCTTTCCAGAAAATCAAATTAATTGGAACTAGATCTGAAAGCAAATATTTTAAACACATTATAGATCAACTGAATGCATAGGTGAAAATATCTCATTAAGCACAATGTTAATTTAAGAGGTTTTAAATCGCTTCAGAGAGAAATTATATAATATGTCATTAATTTGTAATTCTATTTTAAGATAAAGAATTGCCAATTTACTGCAAGTGGCACTTTGTGGATACGTAATGATCTAAATATTTAATATTAGAACGTATGCACAGAGATTCTTTATATACTTAGTTTTGTCCATTTAAAAAGAAAAAAAATGTTAATATATTTACTGGGTAGACATTAAATCCCTTTTCAAAATCTTGCAAAGGGATCCATGAATAAAGTTCCAGTGTTAAGGATTCTTTAAATGCTATTTGAAATATTAATACTTGATTAATAGTTAGCTATTGTCATATTGCTTGAGAGGACCATACATGAGATATGATGAAAGCCTTAGTGCTTTCCATTCTAAAGGACAGACTACTTAAGAGCTTTAAAAGCTTCTTTATTGCTTTTGAGAAACACCTCTTCTTTAGATATGGGAAACTAAAAGAGAAATGATTAAACATGCCACTGTTAACTGATTCATTACTAGAGCATGGTGTTTATTTTAGTAAGGGCATAGATAGCGCCCCACCAGCAGGAGAGACACAAGCACTCCAGAGTGAGGAATGTGAGGAAAGCTCCACAAGTGTAAATCCTGTGCTGTTGGTGGACCTGGTGTAGAGCATTCTCAGGACTGAGTTTGTTGATCATTGCAGTCCCAAGTTGGCATAAGTAGTTTCCCTGCAGTTTTTTAAAAATGAGATACTTTGAAGTAACTCACCCAACCACTGAACCTGGCCAGTCCAAGCTCATGGAAGCCTGGAAACAGCTATTCCCCTTTATCCTGCACTGTCTTAATAAACAGGAATGGCATCCAAAGAGTGTTCATATATGTAGGATATTAAAGGATTTTTAAAATTTCAACTATTATGGCTCTGCATAGCAGCTACAAGTTGTGACAACTGATGTGTACATTTCTATATCCACAATTCCATTGAAGACTATAAGGTAAGACTATAACACTGAATGTAGGAACTGGTGATGCTTTATTTCACATATATTGTGCAATATCAACTGATTGAAGATCACAGGTATAACTCAGTAAATTTTGGGATGATACATGCTTTCTGCATGGAAGTTCACTTAGGAGCAATCAGCTCTCTCTCTTGCTCTCTCCCTCACTGCATTCCAGCTCAGGGGAATTTGAAAATGTTTCTCAGTGTTATTAGAATGTCCATGTTAAAAAGAAAGGATCAAGCTTTCTTTCTTTCTTGGTTGTTGATAACTCAAATTAATTTTCCTTTACCTCTTGAGATTGTGGTTGCCATGTCAAAAGGGTCATACATAACTTCAGTTATAATAAGTTAACTGAAGAATAAATGTTTTTATCAATAGATTTTACTATTAATGTTGAGCACTTGACTGGTCAAATAGCAGGAAAGGGAACTTTTACTGGCCTTAATTTGAAATTATGTTTGTCTTTTGATGGACACTTTTTTGTTTCCTAGAGAAATACTTACTGATTGGTGTAGGTGAAGATGCCTCACCTTCAGTGGATGTTGTGATGGGCTTAGTGTCTGTCATGGTGAGGGTCACAGGTCGCACCGCACTGTGATGGGGAGAGGGTGCCAAAACTGGAGTAAAATGGCCAGGCATTTTCCCTACTACTTGACCACTGCTGTTAGGCTACAAAACAAAACCAGAAGAACGCCTTGTGAAATATACACATTGTGCTCAAGAGAGCTATTCCTCTACCTTGGGGCTTATAGGACCCTGTAGCTGTTGGGTACCATTTCAATATGCAAATCTCTCTGCAGAGGATTTTTGAGCTACAATGTAAATGTGGGCGTTTTAGTGGTCTGTGGGTTTTTTTTTAACTTCATGAAGGTATTTTTTCTAAGTTCACATAAAGGATTATCTAATGAAATAAATAGTTCTGTTGGATGCCTCCTTTTTATTTTTTTTTTACAAAAGTACCAATAATACTACTATTTACTTATATAGTTGCTGAGTAAGTCAAAGGGATTAAAAGAAATAGCAGACAATAGGGACCCCTCGGAATCAGCCTAGGACATTTATAAGAATGCTTCTACAGCTGTACATTTGAAATAAGGTTATACAGAGTGCTTAATAATCTCATTAGTACTTTTTATTCTAATATGTACATATTAGAAATTGCTCTAAATTCTGCAACAGCACTAATCAAAGTAAAGATTAGCCATACCACCATTCAATACTGGTTAATTGAGAAGGGATAGTTTTATATATCCTCCCAAATGGGTTTGATTAGCAGTAAGGTAAAAGAAGGTGGAGGAATCAATATGTTAACGTTATATTGGTTGTTTCAGATATTTACTTAAAGGCTTATCTTTAATAAAGGCTAAAATTCTATATTTTACTACATTTTATTGCTTATTGGTTAGTGTAAAACGATGAAAAACGATGAAGATCTTGTAAAGCTCAAGATCTGTGAATGAATATCACAAATAGATATGATGCATAAAGTAAACACAAGGAAACAACACAATCTTTAGACGGGCAGGAGTAACTGTAGAAAACGAACACATTTCTGCTGTTAACTATGGCATGTGTATGTCATAAAAACATATAGGACACACAAAATTAAGGTGTCTTCTTGGTTTTGGATACAAAACCTTGCTAGTGATACATGAACATTTTGCAATCTTTATAAGCCTCACAAAAATAAGAACAACACAAAATATTATCTGAGTTAAAAACATCCAGTATCACTTTCTTAATCAAACTTTGAAAAAGAAGTATGCAACCCAACAAGTCTTATTTTATTTCACAATTGCTCACTAGAAAAAACAATGCCTATGGTCCTGCATTGAACATATAGCTATGATGACAATTGCAACATCCTTCAGAGTTGTAAGAAATATGGAACTGTTTCCACTTTATTTCCTTCCATTGGATGAATCCAGACATCACATGATAGAATAATGTGGAATGATGAAAATAATCTATTTTATGAGTCAGCCAACTTTTCAACTTGCAAGCTATGGCATTACCGTATTGCTTAAAAAACCAAGTACTGCATACCAATTATTACACTATATTTATTATTAAATACAGTCGACTCAGTTAAACATAACTCAGACCCCATCCACACTATCTCTATATCCCAGGATCTGATCCCCAATTATCTGCTTATCCCAGATTATCTGGCAGTGGGGACTCATATAATCAAGTTTAAAGAAGATAATCTTGGATCAGATCCTGGGATATAGGGACAGTATGGAAAAGGCCTCAAACAACTCAAGTTGAAAATACTCCTATATGGTCATATATATGTCTAGAAAGTTCAGTCAAAACTATCAACAGTCCAAAATCTGAGTCAATGTACATGGGTCATGTGACTATTGGTACTCAACTCTTAATTTTTCCATAACTCTTAACTCAGCAAAGAACCAGAACTCTTACCAAAAAAAAGTTAAAAAAAAGAACCAGGACTCCTATCAAAAAAGTTGGATGTTTGACTTGCAAACATCTGACGTACAAACAACTCATAATTAAGAACAGTGGGTGAGAGAACAGGAAGTGAGAGAAATCTACCTCTACAAAGGGAAAATCACTCCTGGAAGAGGTATCATGGGGAAAAGGTATCTGCACTCCACTGAAGCTTTATTGCCAATCCTTGCTTCCATAACAAGCCATTTGTTTCAAAATCCAATTCTCACAGGGACAGAAAGTGAGGTGAAATCTTCTGAACAAGGGCACTGACAGAAAAATGAACACCAAAGGGGTGTAAACCCTTCTCTATGCTACCCAGAAGTAAATACCGAAATGGAAATCAGGGCAGATATCTTTTATTATAGCTTCAACTAGATATATTAAAAGAAGCGAATTGATAAAATGCCACCCAGCAGATAGAATATTGAATTTCTACTTGGTTTACAATCTTCCCAAAAACACTGAGCTAGTGGCACTGGTTCTGTCATTCAGCAGCTGAATTCTTAATAAGCTAGAATTATGCACTAAACACAGGTTCCACCTATATTGGACTTCTGGGAACCATTCTTATCATGCATTTACAGGCCAAAAACCTAAACTATTTGTTGCCAGCTACCTACTTCTGCCTCTGGAGAAAGGGGGCTAGTCCAATGCCTTCTTTGTTTTTCATCAAGCATCCATCGTGAGAGAAAGAGAAGTAAGGGAATGGGAGAAGGACTCCACATATGCAAGATCCCTATAAAAAGCAAACATCCCAGATCCGTCCATGCTTACCTTCCACCTGGTCAATGGGGAGGGGGGAGGCACCCTGGAAAGCATTGCAATGACAAGCATAGTACACCTTATTGGCTACCATATGTATCCAGCCCAGATTAAGAGGATAGAGGGCTAGGATTTTCTCCTCCTTTTCTGGCTGCTTTACAAAGGGACTGAAAAGATAACTGGGCAAGCATCTGAGACATCTACTTCTTACAGGGTCTTGTGCAAGTGGAGTAGTCATCCCCCCTTCTCTTTCTTCTCAGTGGGCATTAGACATTTGATTATCAAATCGCTCATTCAAATACAGGTATTACAAAATAAAACTAAAAAAAATTCTGATCACAAGCATTTCAGTTAGGGGAGATTCAGCATCCTAAGAAATCCTGGGATTTGTAGTGTGGTGGGGCATTAGAGCCCTCTGGCTGAGATTTTAAACACTTTGAACTGTAAATCTCAGGCAGTGATACTGGATCATAGCATTAGAATTAAACAGGTCCTGTTTCCCAACAGTGAGAGTGAACTTGAATAAAATAGCCAGGACTATCACCCTGTTTGCAGAAACAGAGATAGCTCTCCCAGGTGGGTTTCTCGGCATCAGTGACATGATCTGCTCCAGGCAATAGCACTGGAGTTGCCAAAGGCAGGAAAGGCAAGGCCATCAGCAGCTCTGATTGACTGGCAGTTTCCACCAAAATGGGAAACTTCAGCAAACAAAACAAATGAAAAATCCACTCTCTCTACAAATGTTTCTATGTCTACCATTTTGGCACAATGTGCCTGTGGCATACCTGCATAATGGACTGTGCAATAATAAACAGTTCTTAGATAAGAGAGTCCTGCTGTAGCATAGTGCAAAATATCCATAGTTCAAATCTCAGATCAGGTATTCAGACACCACAGTCCTTGTCTGTACCATGGAGATAATAGTGTTTTTCTTATCAAGGTAGTCATAAAGATGTGCAGTACCTTAATATAACAATACTTACCCACATATCTTGCCTAAACACTTACATAAGTAACATTCATCCTAAAACAAAACGCCTTTTTGGGCAAACGTGTCTGAATTTGCAGTATTTAGTGCTGTAGCTCTCCAGCATTCTCTATTATAATATAATATAATATAGTAAACTACACTTCTGTTGTCCTGGGACCTCTTCACACATCCTGTTTTTTTCCCTTCGGTACAATGGTATTTTGAGTCTTCAGCCACAGAGCCTGATGACTCCCATCACAACCCGGATAACTACAACCGCCATGGAAAAAACGGCAACAGTGGACAATGGCAGCCCCTCTTTCCATAGGGAAAAATGGGTAGAACCGCCAAAAAAAAAAAGCTTCCCCCATGTGATGAGGCGGGGAAAGTCACAACAGAATAGAGTGTGGGGCAATAGGCCCCATGCCCCCTGCTCAACCACCACCAGGACACAGCAATTCAGAACAATTTTAGTAGCACATCTAACAAAGCCCCTGAAGATGGAGTTCCCAGGTCCATCTTCAATATTCTATTCCCACCTTTAAGTGGGGCTCTTTTTAACTATGAGATATATCCGAGTAATACAGCCCCTTCTCTTCTCATTCTCAGTAAAACTTTATTTTGCACTATAACTCTGTGACTCATAACACAAAAACAATAAGCCATTGACCACCTTAGCAAATCAAACCCCAGTTTTTGAAAAAGAGCATTTGGAAGAGTTTTAATACAAATTTAGCAATTTGCTACAAACAGCCCCCCCCCCCCCAGAAAAGAAATGTGTGAACACAGAGGTGACACTGCAAAACCTGGCAAAAACCAAGGAACTACTTCACAAGAATTCATGTTTCATTAGACCAATCTGGAAGAGCACTTTATCACCAAGATCATTTTGTACATTTCAGCTTTTATTACAGATTTGACTACAACTCTTAGAATTCTCTGATCATTCAGTTTCATGTAATTAGATCCATTTAATATTAGATTTAAAAAACTGCAGAGTTGTTTCCCTTGTAGAAATTACCACTAGCTCTGTGGTGTTGCTTAAAATATTCAAATGTATACAGTAACTTACTATAAGCACTGAAAGCACTAAAGCAATTAGATTAAAAATTGCTATGGAGAATGTAGTGGACCTTTGGTTGTCTTTATCTAAATTGGAGTGATATTAAAAGATGTTGAAGAGGAAAAGTTCATTTTAGGTAAATTGTATCAGGCTATCACTTCTTTGGGTGCAAGAGATTTATCACCACACTTTCAGAAAAACCTAGTGAATGGGTATGGTTTGAGAAGGAAAAGGACTAACTGACATGGCATTCAGACAGATGCAATTTTGCAAATTGTGACAATCAATTTTATTTAGTCAAAAACATTTTTTATTTAAAGAAGAAATTGCCCCAACCCACAAGGTCTTATAGAATAGGCACCCTTGGTTGCTCAAACATCTTATGTTAGTTTTCCTTCTTTTTTGAAAGGAAAAAGTAAGTATTCACATCATTCCATACCTGCTTAACAAAGTACTGATTTTACTATGCACTGAAGTAATATGAAATACACTGATGCCAGTCTTTCAAAATCTAATCCCATAGTTATTCTAAGACAAAACCAGAGCTCATAAACAATTCACTCACACTCCAATGTCATCACAATTCAAATGAACAAGCAAACATTTCTACATCCAAGCATTTGCAAACATACTAAAATTACATTGTTTGAATTTTATTGCTCAGGTTTCAGCTGTTTCTTTTGTGAGCTCCCTTCAGTCCCATTTCTAGAGAAAGGAGGCATATAAATAAGATAAATAATAGTATCATTAAAATATAAATATGTTGGTCAGCAGATTGAGATTCATTAATGTTCTCCATAGACAAAAACAGTTACCTACTGGGTAAAAACCATTGGTTGTTGAGGTTTATTCATTCAGTCGCTTCCAGCTCTTCATGACCTCATGGACCAGCCCACGTCAGAGTTCCCTGTCGGCCGTGGCCACCCCCAGCTCCTTCAAAGTCAAACCAAGCCAAGCCAAACTATTGGGCAAGATCCAAAAATTCTGTGACATGAACAGAATGGTTCCTACTCAGAGATTACCTCTGTGAACTGAAGTCCTTCTATTCAAAGAATAGAACATTTGCTCTGAACATGAATTTGGTCGAATCCAATGTGTGTTTATAATAAAGACAGGTTTTATTTAACACGTTAAAACCTGTAACTTTAAAGATTTGTGTAGCCGGAAAAATGCCACAAAGTGCAGAATCTACTGATATCTAAAATATATTTCATTTTAAAAAGTTATTAACACAACATTCCTTTGACTGTAAATGCTTTTTCTCAAGGCACAATGGCAATTGAGAGTTGTCCTCTTACAATTTTATTGTATATGTTCCCAGGATTAAAAGTATATTCAATGCAATAAGAAAAAATATAATAGTCATAATCAGGTTGCAATTTTTTGTAAAAATCTTAATATAAGCATCATTACAAAATAAGTAAAGATAAACTCTAAAAACGGATTGTGTGAGCACAGCCACCACTAGCAAGATGCACAGCACTACAAGGTTGATTTTAATTGGCATATTTTCACATAGTATTACCTAATTGAGACATCACTTTAAAAAAACAATAAAACTCTTAGCTTTCCACACTGAATTAACATTAAGGACTTGTAATAGATGTCGCAATTAGACCTTATTATTCATGGAAATTTTACACAAATTAAAATCAGTTTCTATGTACCTTGTTACCAGCTGAGTCTCAGCAAAAACCAAACAAAAACCTGTATAAATTTTAATCCTGATACTGACAGCAATTTGTAATTTAAAATCTGACATTCAGTTTTTAATTGGGATTAATATTCTGGGGGCAAGGAGGAAGCCTCATGCTTATTTAGGCTATGGTGCAAATCATATTCATCAGGCAGTAAGTCTGATTTCCAAATTGACATGATCAAAATCAGATTGTTAAACCTATTTTGAAAGTAAGGAGCACACATTTCCTGCCAGAGGAAAAGATTCCATGACTAAACTATAATAAACACGGTGGCTTCCAGAAATGCCTCTGGAGGAAGCAAACTTGTTATTAAGTATATAAAATTAAAAGTATTTACAGATTCTATTGCCCTGGTGTATGACTCACATATTGCATGAAATAATTTCCTATCAAAACAGTGAAAGTCTGGCTCTTTAAATCATATGTAGGTTCCAGTAGCATTCTGGGACCTCAGGAAGAGTTCCATTTCGCACCCCACAAGCTCTTTTGTGTCTCCACCAAATAAAAATTTGTCAATATTATGAGGGAGCTCTGGCGTGGGCTGGTCCATGAGGTCACGAAGAGTCGGAGACGACTGAACGAATGAACAACAGCAACAACAATCTACACTGCACCTCTTTAGGGTAGACTGTCGTTCTGTCTAATGGTAGGGCTGAGGTTGTTAATGACCACGTGGTGAATCCTACCTGAACAAGAAACTTGCTGTTTGTATATTGCTCACTTATCAAGTATCTATGGCACTGAATGTAGAATTGTCCCTTTAAAAAGCTTGGAAAGTGCTTTGATCTAGACTAGTGCTCTTCTAGGTTACACATATAAAGCATATTATAGGATTTGTGAGTGATTCATGACATGGTGTTTCGAGATGGTTTTAAACCATTGATTTTAAAAGTAGATATAATATTTTAGTGTTTGTGTATATTTTTAGTTATTTTATGTTCTGGCATGGAATGCTTGCCATGTATATGTTGTGCTCCGCCCTGAGTCCCCTTTGGCATGAGAAGGGTGGAATATAAATATTTTAAATAAATAAATAAATAAATATCTAGATTCAAAGTGTTATTTTAATCTTTAATCTAAAGCTATTGGCATTTCAAATGTCTTGGCCCTCCAGATGACTTAAACTTCATCTCTCAGTACTCACAGTCAGTATGAACAATAGTAAGGTTGTTGTATGCCTTCAAGACATTTTCAATTTCTGGTGACTCTAGGGCAGAGGTCCTTTTAAGCAGAGAGCCAGTTCACTGGCCCTCAGAATGATGGGGGGGGCAGACTATAGTTTGAAAAAAATGAATTCCTACGCACACTGCACATATCTTATTTGTAGTGCAAAAAACCATGAAAAAACAATACAATATTTAAAATGACGAACTATTTTAACCAACATAAACTTACAAGTATTTCAATGAGAAGTGTGAGCCTACTTTTGTCTGATGTGATAGTCAAGTCAATTAGGATTGTTGTCGTTGTTGTGTAAATTCAAGTCATTTCAGACTTAGGGTGACCCTAAATCTAAAGTTTAGGGCAGGAGCCAAGTAAATGACCGCGGAGGGCTGAATCCGGATCTCAAGCCTTAGTTTGGGGACCTCTGTTAGAGGGCAATCCTATCATGCAGTTTCTTGGCAAGATTTGTTTAGAGGGGGTTTGCCTTTGCCTTTCTGAGAATGTGTTATTTGCTTAAGGTTACCCAGTGTATCTCCTTAGTGAACCTTGTTTTATATTGTCTCCTATTAATTTAAACCTATTTAATTGTTATGTTTTTATTGCTGTTATTTTCTTCTACACGTCTATAATAACTGAAAAGCAATTCATAAACTGAAGTGATACAGTAAAGGGACTAGTAATCTATAGAAGGATGGAAAATATTAAATGTATTTCGATGTGTTTTATTAGCAAAGAGAGAAAATCTGCTTGAAATTTCCCAGAACTACTACAAAATGAAGTATGGATATTGACATGAGCACCAAATAGAAGACAGCAAAAGTAGAAACCACACATTGTAATTAGACTTGAATTCCAAATATAAAGGAGATCACATATGAAGCTAGTGTATGCTATGTTGAAAATGCAATTGTACATGGATGCTTTACAAAACAATTATCTGCTAACAACAGTACTGATTACCATTTTGAAAACAAGTGATCTGTCACACATTTATGAACACCTGTTCTTGACTAAACTGAAACCTACATCTACATTTATTGTGCAATGCTCATAAACATATATGCAAATATATGCAAAATACTACAAAGCAGCACACAACTCAAGAAAATTGATCTAAATAGCTGGTTTATAAATAGGCCTATATGCATGTGTGTGTACATACAGTAGCCTATTTCTTGCTTCTCTCCTACAAAAAGAACCCACCCCATCCCTGTATTATGTCCACAATGATTGCCGTAAATGACTGTAACCTAAACACCAAATGAGAAAAATCTATCAGCCAGAGGCTTCAGTTGAGAAAATTACAAGTGCAACCAGTTTGTAGTATCAGTTATAGAAGACCCACAGAGAGATACACAAATATGAGTAAAGATATGAGGAATACTTCCAATGGGCTACATCTTTCGTACCCTTCTAAACTTAGAACCTGAGTAAGAGCTGTCCAAAATCGACTATGCTCTTGTCCATTCATCAGTCAAGCACAACATATTTACAACTGACAAAGCAAGGATGAATATAAGTGGCCACCCCACTTATGTTCAGGCACATTATTGTAAATGAAAACTACAGACATGCTACAGACATGTTCTTATACTACAAGATCAAACTTGTTCATAAAAAGTGCAATCATCAGATCTCAAAGCTTTCATTGGACACATTCTTCCTAAGATTACTCACAGATTATTTGTTGTTACAGTACCTGGCTGGTTTGTGGACTGGACGGGTCATAAGAATAATTCTTCAGAGTATCCTGAGGATTCAGGTGAGGAGGGTATCGGATTGTTGGATGAGAGAAGTAGCTAGTTGGGGTAGGAGGGAGAATAGCTTGTGGTGGAAATGGCAATGGTGAAGGTGAAGGTGGAGCTCTAGTTGAGATGACTGGAGGAGACAAAAAAATAGGACTTTATTTAAGATTGTTCATTCACGACAAAACTTTAAACACATACGGCAAAACAAAGGCCAAAACTCAAATCAGTCTTGGATTAACTTCTTAGACTTCCTTTTAGGTTTAGTTGACAACACATTTAATCATCAGACTTACTTTCCCTCAACTTCCCATAGGATAAAGACTATTGCTATTCTCTAGGCTATGAAGACCATTTATTGTACTATGCACACGTATTTTTTAAAAATTCTAAATATGTAATTGATTGCCCTGTAGAAAACTTGATTTAGTTTTAATCAAGTATAAGATAAAATATGGGTAGGCAATTAAAAAGCCAAATCATTTTAAAACTCCAGAATAATTTGGAAAGGAGGGGGCAAGAGGGGAGTCCTAGGAATCAGCAAATGATTTCACAATCCTTTGTGGTATGCTCTGGCTAATGTGTAGAAGGGGGTAGGGAATAATTACTAAGCAATAACACCATGAATAATTAGCTGTCCATTGTGAAAATGCTAATGAACATTCAACTTCAGGGCCTGGGAAAATATCTCGCCCAATGGCAATATCTCTAGTGAACAAAAAGAGTATCATATCCTATACATATTTTTTCTTGCACTCTCTTTTCTACAGATTTCCCTATCAAGAGATTGTGCGTAATGTCTAAAAACAGTCTAATGGCCTTAGCAATGAAAGGAATGTACAGAATGTCCTGTTACTGTGGAGTTATTATACCAGGCGTGGAAATTATAATACATAACAATCACATTCCACTTATATAAGGGGCATTTGTGTGTGAAGAAAACAACATTTTAAGCAGGAAATGGAAAAGAAAAAATAATGTACTATAGGAGAAGATTATACTGTTAACACAGCTGCATGGTGTCTTAGTGCTTCTTTTTTTTCAACAATTTATTAAAAGATCTTATACAAAAAAGCAATCTCTTTTTGTTATATCATATGCCAACCACTAAAGTTACTTCAGTTGTATTTCATCAATGTACTTCTCATGGTTCAATAAACACCACACATTAAAAAAAATTGCCCTCATTAGCTATGTCTTTTGGTTATGTGTCAGATAGGATCCAACTACCTAATACAAAAATCCCATGAAACGTATAAGGTGAACTGAGAATCATGCTAACCCTGATGCAAAATGCAGCCCAAATGGGTTGATAGGTCAAAATCAGTGAACTACATATGGCCTAAGCTATTTGTACTTTTAGCAGTTTTTGATAGTGTCCATACCCAAAGCTTGAAAAAGGGAAATGATACAATATAATTTGTGTACTTTGAGATGTAACCTCAGATCCACTCCTGAAGTCTTTATTACAGACCACACAAACCTAGTTAGATCTAAATTTGGAGTAGTGACCAGCATTTATAAGGTGGTCTGTAGTCCAAAGGTCTCCATCCCATTGTACTCTTGGTCCAAACTAAGTTCCTTCAGATACAAGTACTGCCCAAATATATGAGTTATCTCAGTTTAATGTTTGCATGAGAGAAGAAATCAAATCTCAGTTACTGGGAAGAGCCAGAGTCGTCTTCTAGTTACCATTATAGGACATACTGTTTTCAAGAACAGAAATGATTTGATCTCAGAACTGCCCAACAAATATACTCTTCTCTCGCTTCCACCGCCTCACAAGCTCGGTTGGTGGGGAGGAGGGAAAGGACCTTCCCTGTGGTGGCCCATCGGCTCCCACTCTCTCAAGTTTCCACAAGGAATTAAACTTGGCTGTTCTGTTGTGCCTTTGATTAGGAAGTTCACCACAGAATTTCCCAACCTATTCGTCTCCTGCACTTTAACATGGTCCCTTTCTGGCACTTCTAACACTTCAATAGCCTAAGGATATTTGTCTCCTAGCCCAGCCCTCCAATTGTCGCACTTTCCCTGGCTATTCTTAGGATTCATTGCATTTAGTAATGATGAACCGAACCCAGTACTTTATTTGCTCAGCCATGATAGCTTTTAATCATTTTTATAATGTTGTCTGATTTTATATTTATTGATGTTTGATACTGCATGTTTTTCTATCATTATTTTAACCTGTTTTGTTAGGTGTGTCCCTTTGTAAACCGCCTCGAGTCCCTTCGGGGAGATGGAGGCAGGGTATAAAAATAAAGTTATTATTATTATTAGTTATTATACTGGGGTGTTATTTATGTACAAAGGCAAAAGTACAGAGATACTTTTACAGATGGGGTTTTAAAACATAAACTCGAGACTGAAGGTTATCGTGTAGTCTGAATGTTAAGGACACATTCATTTACCATACTAAACCATGGCAGAGATGAAGGACTAGCTATATTTTGGATCCATCTCTCAAACGTCTGAGCCCACATGTTTTGAACTCATTTAAACCATCCTGCTTTGTACTGCATTCCTTGATCATCTTCCTTTGTGTTTCACCTAGACTTACAAGATTTTTTACTTAACTGCCATTTCAATAACCCCTTGTTTGCTTTAGCATTTAATTTTTTTCTGTTTTTTACTCCAGTCTCTACTTCCCAAGTTACTTTTTCTCACCCCATCCCCTGGTACATTTCCCTTCCTCCAGCTACCACAACTTCAGGCACCCTGCTATTAGATTTCCTATACGGTTCCTTCTCATCAGCTTTCTACAAGAGTCTTTCTTCTTTCTTTCTTTTACTTATGCTAATCGCACCAAATTCTTTCCTATAAACCTCTGTTCATTCTTTTTCCAATGCAGCTGTTCAGGGTATGCAGGGGCAAATTGGGCCGGGGGGGGGGTATTCTTGTAGATTTTGTGTTGTTTAACACAGAAAACAGCAGAGAAGTTAAAAATCAAATGCTAAGAGATAGCTATGAAAGCAAAATATTTTTCATTTTTTTAAAAGCTCTTTTGTGTTTAGAATGTGGCAAAGAAAAAAAAACCCAAAAGCTATTTTTTCTATTAACTGCAGAAATGTGATCTAAAAAATACTGAAAGGGGAAAAAACTTTCTTGAGATCACCTTTTGAAAACATCTGCACTTCAAGTTAAGCTTGTATTTAAAGTGCTTTCACCAGAGTGAGCAGTTTTGTACACTCCAAAACAGGCTTCCAAGTAAATATGCATTGCAGTACAGTGTAGTATTAGCTTACTATATTTTGCTTATGCATATCTGTGGCTCACATAGAAGTTGAACCAAAGGAATTCAGGAAGTTCTCAATCTACATAATCGTCTCTAATTCATAACAGAACAATCCCATTGCTATGTGTTCTAGATGTATTTCGGAGTTTGTAATATTATGCCAGAGTTCAAAACTCTGAATATATCAGAATTCTCAGTTCAACTCTACTCTACTATGGAGAGAACAACAGACAGACAGACACAGGAGATTTGAGAGGATTGTGTTTTCTGTCAATGTTGAGATTATCTTTCAGTCAAGATTGTTGTACAGAAAAAAGGGGGAGAGGGTGTACATGTCATGCACTTGGAATGTAAGTGCACAAAACACAGCTGGATTGATAAATATATGTATAATGCAAGAAAATGAATAGTTTTTGCTGCTTTCAAGAAATTAATTCTACTGGAAGTGCAAAGAAGTTTTGAAAACCTCTTCCTTCATGAGAGTCATGTTAAAGTATTTAGAAAGGCCTAGAGAAGACAAATTTAATGGACCTATGAATACCAGTCCCACAAGTAAAGGGGTCATGTAATAGTTGGTGGAGCATATTAAGGAACTGTAGGTCAGACCTATGTTGCCTAGACAGCAAAGTACATAGTGTGAGATGAAGGGAATCATGGTCTGACAACATCTGGAAGGCTATGCATTGCTCTTCTATCAAAGAAATGTTCCTATATGGCTGCATTGGGGCAGGGAGGCCAACTAGATACTGAGGATTTTTTCTGTAATTCTTGTATCCTCACCACTGTGTGCAACTCCTGGGATCCCTGGATGGTGATGCTGGAAAGTGGTCAGTCTTGGAGAAGAATCCTGGGGAGATGTAGTGCTAAACAAAGGCTTTTCAGGTTTCTTCATTGTAGGAGAAGACATATCTGCAATAACAATGCAATATAGTACATGTTAGCTTCACATGTTATTTATCATGATACTAAATGATATATCCATCAACAGTCCGTAGTCAGAATGATACTGCTTAAAGATAAGAGTACATTTTATTGATTAGCCCATTGACCATATCAAAAACATTTGACAAACACATAAACATACAGTACAACATAAGTTAAAATAAACAAGCTGTTAAGAATTATTTAAATGCAAGGCAAGGATAAGGATTGTTTTCTTAAACTCCCAAGATTCAGGAATTCTAAGCAGCTTTACTGGGGAAAATGATTTGTAAAATGTGTAACTCTTGGAGTGGCAAGGAGACTGGCAATAGAGGATGACTAGCAACAGTGAAGGATTAATGGGGAGCTCATTAAGGGACAGGATCTTTCTAAGTTTGTAAAGCTGTACAAAATTAAAGTTTTGAAAAATGTCACCTGAGGGATTTCACTAGTTAGAATACGAAAGTAAACGAAGTGGTCAGTGATAAGCCACAGGTGTTGATGAAACATCAGGAGAAAATGCTGCTAGAACACAGCCACATAGACCGGAAGCAACACAATACCCCAGTGATTCCGGCCGTGAAAACCTTTGACAATGCACTGTAAAACATCTCTACAATAGCCGTTATCATAACAATTATTGATTTCCTTTGGGTCCTAGGAAATAATGTTCAAGGTCTTTGTGGTTAGAGTACTAAGATTGAAGAGTCTAGTATACACCTTGGATAAGTTATTTTCAATCAAGAGCATCTACCTGCTAAAGCTTTTGTGAGGATAATAAGCTTAAAATTTCATACTGTATCTGCAGCAGCTATAAGAGGTATGCAGTTCTAAGAGGTAAGCAGGATGAGAAAGAAAAACATGATAAAAACTAAATTGTGATATATTACTAAACTCTGTATGTAATAACCTGAACCTACTTCTATAATAGTCGCAAACAGCCCTGGTTTTCTTACTTCCTTTGAACCTTCAGTTTGTTAGGGTACAACACATTCTTTGCTCCAACACAAAAGCTATGATGAAATGCCATTTGACAAATTAAAATAAATATTTGTTTTGGTACTCTTTCTTGACTTTATGTTCTCAGCATCAAGAAAAAAACATTCTAGTACTCTTGTCTAGGAAGAAAAACAAGCTGTCTCTTTTAACAGGGCATGGGACACCAAACTGTCATATTGGGGCAAAAAACAAACGTACTCCCCCATCCATCCATGGTTGGAGGCTATTAATACAAGAAAAACTTCTAGGCCTTGTACCTTCTTGATTAAAAAAAATATTTTTAGGAATGGAAATGAGATGGTATAGGTGGCTATTTGGTCACTACTGTTGAACTGTGGAATCAAAAAGCAATTGCCCATGTAGTTGAGTGGTGTTTTTCTTTACACTGGAAGCAAAAGAGCCAAGTTACAACAGGTTACAATGAGAAGTTGTGCTAGTTTGGGGGACTAAGAGCTGTCTATTTTTTAAGCAACTGGGTTTTGTTATTGAAGGAATGAAGCAGAAATAAAGAAAAAATAACTGAAGAGCAAGTAATCTGGAGCATTTGATTTTTATATCTCATCCCTGACTCAGATTTGTACTCGGTGACTTTTGTTAGGTCGCCTGTTTCTCAACCTCAATAAGTTTTCCTTCCATCAGATAACACCATGTTACAGCAGCAAATGTGCAAGCAAAAGAGTAGCTTGGGAACTGCAGGATTCAGGCCCCACCTCTGCCTTGTACTCGGCTTGTGGCTTGGGGCAAGCCACTTCTTGTCATCTAGTCCTACATTCTTTTTCCAAATATATCTGCTCAAGTGTTTCTGAGAAGCCTACCGGTAGAACTTAGGAGCAAGAACACCCACTTCTCTTTTGATCTTGGCTCCGTTATGCAAAAGTACTTAAGTACGGACATACTTTCACTTGATCATAAGCATCTCCTTGTAGAAAAAGTGTCATTGGCTACGTAGGAAGGGATTTTAGTGTTTATAACCAAAGGAAGATATGGTAGAGAGAAGTGCAAAGAATATTAGGAAATATTCAAAAATATGTTTCTCGAATGTCAAGAAATTGTGAAGAGAAAAATCCTGAAATTACCAGAATTTCAGGATTTCTAAACAAAATTTGGACATTTATTTCTTTATTTCATTTATACCCCGTCTTTTTCACCTACAGGGGACTCAAGGTAGCTTACAAAATTTGAACAAAAATGCAATGCTGTATATAAAAACAACAATAAAACATACCCCATCAAACTATAAAAAAATTAAAACACATAAACAAATAAAACACATAGAACTATAAAACAGATTAAAAACATATAAAGTGCCAAGTCTTGATTCTATACTTATTGCTTAATCCATAGATTAAGGAATTGATGTTTTGTGAAGAACACATCAATTTCTGGACACGAATTTGTATTTTCTGTGCAGAAAACAATATCTATGCATGAAATGCTGTTTCCTACATAAAAATTGCTTTAATTGGAGGTTTAATCTGCAAAAAAGTAATGTGTTGCAGTTTTGAACTGAAAATAGTATTTTCTGTACAATAGTGTTTTCTGTACATTAAAGGCTGTTTTCTGCACAAAAATACCAAATGCAACTTTTGTGAAGAATAAGTCTCAAACTTCAAATTTATCACAATAGGAAGAACATTGCTAAATTATACACTGTTCTTGAAAAAGAAAAAGAACAGAAATTACATTCCTAGTGGTAGAAGTGGCTTAGCAGAGGGAGAAACTCAGCAACCTTGTGTACTGCATGCACAAATTCCCAAGCAGTAGCCTCTGATGACTTTGTGTGTGTGTGTGTGTGTGTGTGTGTGTGTGTGTGTGTAGAGTTTGCTCTGGGGTTAGTTAAAACTTTCAAGAGCTATCCAAGCTTAACTCTATTCAACAAGTAGGTTCAGCATCTTCAGTTGTTGTGTGCCTTGTTTTTGACTTATGGCAATCCTAATATAAAGATCTATTTTAGAGGGAAGGTTTGCTAAGAATAAGAAAGAGTGGGTTGCCTAAGATCACTTAGTGGGCTTCCAGGTCCAAATAGGGATTTAAACTCTAGTAGTCCAGAGCCATAGTCCAATGCTTAAACCACTATACCACCATGGATAGCTTAACATTTGAACATTGATTTGTCATCCTGTTGATACAGGGGGCACCAGCTGCCAATGCCACCAAGAGAGCAAAAAAGTCTTTTCCAATCTTTGACCAACTGCACTGCAAATGTAGATTTTGGTCCTCCCCCCCCCCCCCCCTCCACACCCACACACACACACACACACACATGAGGAATATAACTGCAAGAAAGACAGAATATAACCAAGTTAATATTAACCCTAATGAGAAATAAAATAAAAGCACACAGATTTATAGATTATTTGCAGAATTAAAGGGAGGAAAATCTTATGAAACACTCCATTCAAAAAAAGTAATGCTCCAAGACCAAATTTCTTCTTCTGCTACTGCTATTACAGCTATATTTCTGTTTTTTATATGTGGAAGTCTTATTGTCTCTTTGCATTTAAAAGGTGTGATGTAAATTCCAACTTTCAAGCTAAAGTTACAACACAAAAATATAGTTACAATGCTGTATTTCTGTAAAATGGATATAGCAATGGCAAGAGATTACTGTAAACCAATTTCCCTGCTATAGCACATCATATATCACTCACGTATATACAAAGGAATGTTAAGGAAGAAATGCAGTATGCCCAATATACAAGAATAAAATATGGAATTCACTGGATCAACACTACATGTAGAATTCGTAGCCACAAAGATCAAATGGCTGAAACACTCACAGAAGGTTCCAATGACCTTAGTATTGTGAACTAATTCAAATGATTGCTCTGGTGTCCCTAGCATGCACTGACATCATAATGGAGTATTTATATTCTACTCACAGTGGAATAAGAGGCACAGTGTACAGCAGAACTAGAACAAAAACAGTTTGTATACATTTTGGAAAGGAATGTACTGGTTCCTTGACAAATATGTAAGACACAGTAAAACAAATGAAGGTGTAGAACAAAGCTTCACGATTTGCCTTATTTGACTGTAAACTACTTAAAACAAGTGTGATCTTTCAGTAATATATATTCTGTAGCAGACCACATTATGCTAAATCTCCCTTAAATTATGGTTATCAACAGATTAAAAATTGCTAATAACCTTTTGTCACTTAAAATGTAATATAGTCATTACAGTTTTACAGATATGATCAACCATGATAACGACGAATAAATGAAACAGAATAAAAATATATAGTTGCACAAACATAAAATCAAAGCAGCGTTATCAATCAGGTCTGTTTCTAATTTGCTGTTTTTAGAATAAATATTTAACGCCCTTAGAAGAATATGAAGTGTCGAAATCTCCAGCTGATATCAAACAGTTATAGGTGAACATGCTAGAAATAACAGATAATATCCAAACATATATTTATATAAAATGGCAGGGGGGAATTGAACAGAGGTTTGGCTAGATGAAAAGCTATTCTTGCATAATGTTATAAAGGTAAGGAATATGCATGTCGGGCCTGTGTTATGTTATAAATTTTAAAGTACTAGCACATCAAAGAGATAAAGGCTTATGTAAATTGAAAAAAAGTTAGATCAATGCATCTTCCAACAAGGTAATTCCATCTACAAAGGAAAGCAAAAAGAGAGAGTTGCTGTGAAGCATAGCATATGTAGCCTGCTCAACGGCAGCTTGCACAAATGGTGCTCCAGATGTATATCTGTTCAAGTCAGCCCAAGGCAACTATTTTGATCAATTCTAATGTGATAAAATGCTGCAGGGAAAATGTGCAGAAATGTGTTTACGTCAGACTTTAATTAAACTGTTGTTTGCTTCCAAAGAACCTTAGGAAACACTAATGAGACATGAGTTTCAGCAATTTCCTCATCAAAAGCAAAGACCCTCTGCCTCTGTATGAAGCAGCCTGCTAACCGAGCAGATCCCTCGATAGATGTCACATGGCACACCAATCAGTAAGCCACCTGTTAATG